TCAATTTGTGGGTGATGCTAAGCTGGGAGGAGTTTAGACCTCCTTGAGGATAAAGAGGCCTTGCCTTGAGATCTGGACAAAATGAGGGTGTTCCCATCTGCACGAAGAAGGGCGAGCGCTGGGTTCTGCACCTGGGATGGGCTGCCCTGGCTCTGTGTGCAGACATCAGGGGGGAAGTTCTGGAGCGCAGCCTGGCAAAAAGGGATCTGGTTTGAGGGCCAGTGGAATCTGAGCCGGCAGTGCGCCTGGCAGTCAGAAGGCTCAACCGTACCCTGGGCTGCGTCAGGCCCAGCACTGCCAGGCCAGGGAAGCGGCTTCCCGCTCTGCTCTGCGCTGTGCGGCCTCGCCTCCAGCGCTGGGTGCAGCTTGGGCTGCCACTCCATGAGATGCTAGGAGAGAGTGTCCAAAGGAGGGCTGCAGAGCTGGAGAAGTTTACATCACTGATCCTCCAGACGAACCTTCCCAGGAACGCACACTCTGTATAGAGGTGTAGAGATGTATATTTTGTCAGACACACCGCAAGAATATCCTGCACGAGAGCAAACCAGACAACAAGTGATGGCCTGCCCGAGGAAGCGCCTGAAGAGACATGGGAAGGCCTGGCATCATCCCCCAGTGCTCTTTGTTCAACGAAGACTTTAAAGAAAGTCCCCACATCAACAGGACAAGGAGAGCACCGAGACGTCTTGGAAACAACAGGATGGCTGCTGACTGACAGCAGGTAACAAATAACTTCACAAGTCAATAGCAAATGTCAACCTTCTGATAAGGTTGTGCACCTGGAGTACCCAGCCAGTGGGGAAACAGGGGAGGGGGGAGGCAAGGGGGAGCAAACAGGGTCTAAAGGCTGTCACGGCGTGTCCATAGGCGCGCTGCTGCTTGCGGGACGCCGCCATTGCAATCACGAATCAATTCTGCTTTATCAGAGATCCCGTCCTGACAAGATGACTTGGCTATTTCCAACAAGACCATTCCCCCTTGTCCTAGCACTGCGACCCTCATAATCACCATTCCCCTCCTCTTTATACGCTCCCCTCAAGTACTGCAAGGCCCTGGAGCCTTCTCTTCTCCAAGCTAAAGAAGCCCAGTTCCTTCAACCTTTCTGCTTAGGAGAGGTGCTCCAGCCCTCTGATCATCTTATCGGCCCTCATCTGGACCCACTCCAAGAAGCTGACTTGTTATTAGACAAGACCAATTCATTTTTTATTTCTTTATTTTATTATTTTCCATCCTGGCTGGCGTCACAGCCCCTTCCTGACCCCTGCCTGCCTTGGCGTGAAGCCTGAGCTTCGTTTACTTCGAGTACTACGTTTGTAGTAGTGACAGTTATGTAGGAGGGCAATGTCTAATCTCAATTTCAAGATGAGTTTTGTATTCCTGGTGGAGGGGAGGCCTCTGCATGCATCTTGATTTTTAGCAGAGGGACTTGTGCTATTAAGTCTCTGTATTTTCTACTATAAAATTAGCTAAATCCATATAGAAAGATTAGACTGAAATGTTAAGTGCCCACAGTTCTTGAAGAGGCTGTGTGTGTGTGTGTGTGTGTGTGTGTGTGTGTGAGCAGCTGTAACCTTGCTATTTACTTAAGGAATGAATAATAAAAAGTGACCTATGGAATCTGGAGTTGAACATGGGATTATCTTTTTTCTTTTAACATTAATTTGCTACAATTTCCAATTTCATGCTCAACATTTTCAAAAACTTTGTGCTCAACATGGTTACATTTTAGACAAGATACAAAATCACTGAAATTAATTTTTTTTTTTCCCAGTACCTAATACATAAATTCAAAGGCTGCAGCAAAAGCTGTGAGATAAAATGTTTCGTTTGACCCCAAATAAAAGGTATTTTTTGCTTTTTAATTTCACTCAGGCTGCTTATTGTAAGCCTCAAACTTGTCATTGTTTTAGCATGGTTATTTTTTCAGTTGTGTGAACAAAGCAGAAATTATTTGCTTGCCCACTTATATTCTGTGCTTCCAAGCTAAGCTGCCTGGGCAGTCTGTTAAACAAAAAGTGCTTTTTTTCTGAAGGGGTTGCTTTTTTTTTTTTTTTTTCTACCACTTAATTCCCTGCTTGAGAACTACAGTGAAAATAAAAGCTTAAAATGTTGATTTAGATCCTTACTTAGCCCTGAGTGGTATCTGTTGTTGGAGACTCTATTACTCTAACGTGCTTTTTTCTTGCAGCAGTACTCAGTGACTCAGGATCTCTATGCACAGAAGCTTACAGGATCCCATGGAATGGATCAGGCCCACGTGTGTAGGGAGATGCAGCACTGTTTCTCCTTGGAGTTTGGGACTGAAGCATAGAAAGAGCAATCTTTTCCAGCCTGGTATGCCAGCAAAATCTTGGGCACAGCTGCATTCTCTCTGCAGTTGCAGGAGTGTCTATAAATGCAGACATGGATTTGTCCCAAGGTAGCCTCTGCAATATGAGCATGGTTACTGTGCCATTCCCCACTCGCTTCAACCCAGAGAAATTCCTGCTTTGTCAGAGCGTGGGGTCTCTCTCCCTGGCTGTCTCAGGAGAGGTTAAATCTTACCTCTGGCACTTCAACCAAGAGCACCTAGAGGTCTACTGCAGATATTTGCCCCCAGCAAAAAGAAGGTTGATTGTAGCTGTTTGTGCTGGTACTTCTGGGGCTGGGGTTGCTCAGGTGAAGCCCTTCTTGTGGGGAGGTCCTGGTCACTGGGCTAAAGTGATAAAGGGAGCTATCCCTGCCCTAAGGCTTTGGAAAGACTTGCAGGAAGGCTTGCCAAAGGTGCCTGGGAAGCGCTGGTTCTAGGTGAGTTTAATGATTTTTAACTCGAGCCTTAAAGTTTGCATACTTGTTCTTTGAATTTCTCCTGTGTTTTATTTCTCCCTTCTGGCTGAATGTTGAAGGTTATGTTTCAGGGTTTCTAAGCTTTTCTCTATGACTGTGATAGCTAAAGGCCTTTCTGAGAGACAGTAGGTATCTCTTATGGGTATCTCTTATGCTCAGTCTCTTAACTGAGGAAGCATAGGGCAGTTGCTAGAAGGAGTTTATGAACTGGTTTCAGACATGACTGTAGGAGAGGTGAATGAAGCTGAAAAAACAGTTCTGTAAGGAAGCCTTGTTGTTAAAGAGATGCGTAGGCTGAAGATTTATTTAGTTGCTGGGGTCTTGCTCTGTTTCAGGATGGATGTGGACTTTGGGGCTCAGCTATGTACATTAGTCACTGCAAAACACCCAGCCTGCACTGAAGACAGAAAGCCCCAGTACTGAAATGGGAAACTAGCTGCTATCAGTGCAGGTAAGGGATCCTGCTCTCTCAGTTCTTGACTATGTCTGCAGTTAAGTGGAGTTAGCTTTGGCTGTTACTGGAGCACCTCTTTCCTGTCTCCCTCTGTAGCTGCAGGATCTTACTGTCTTTTGAGCAACTTTCTGAATGCCTCAGAGTTCCTGTTGAGCCTTGCTACTGACTCTGGCCAGGTGCTTCCCTGATAAGTGAGCTTACAGACCTTGTAGCTCTGCTGGTGGCATGAGGGTGCAGGGCACTTGCCTCATCCAGGGGCAAAAAGAGGTATTTCTTGCAGACATGTTCCTCTTCAATCCCAAATCTCTTCAATCCTCCTTCCATCCCAAACTACTCTATGATTTTTATGATTCATTTCTACTGCTTTTAAGACTATATTTGTGGTTTGGAAATGGAATCTAGCCAAATTTAGCTGCTTGATCTTATTGTGTTTTTTTTTTTTTTTCCCCAGTCCTGATCTGGTGCTCTTGTTGCTGCTGAGAGGATGAGTCAATTGTTTAGTGTTTCAGCAGAGATCAAATGTACAGCTTGTACTGCTGCTGAATCCTTTATGGGTATTTCCAAGAGACCTGTAAATGCTTATTGTGTGTCTGAAGGAACTTCAGGTTTGTTAAAGAAGGAGGAAGAAATACTTCCTTCTAGCAAATGGGAAGTAAGAAAGCAGGTAACTGGTGATTTGCAACCTCAAATTGCAGTGAGGGTAATTTGAAGCTGGGAAATAGTCTTGCTCAGACCTGCTTCAAAAGGGCACTGAATGCAGTCACAGCCTGACCTGGGAGGAAGAATGGGGCAGTGTTATTATAGCCTGGGAGTAGATATCCTGCAACTGTTGTAAAAGTGAAACCCTCCTAGCTGCCACAATCAATCTTTTAAAAGCAGTAAATTCTATTTCTAGTCTACCTGTAACTTGAGGTGTGGTCCTGGTGGAGAAATCAGCCCTCTGTGGGAGCTGGAGGCTCAGCAGCTTACAGTTGAGCTGCTCAATGCAGTGCAGCGCCTTGTCTCAGCTTATCACAGCCCTAAATCTGCTTCTTTGCAGGAGGTGATGCTCTGTGTTTACAAGTATTCATGGTAGCAGGCTTGAGCCATCCTCTCTCCAGCTGCCAGGAAGTGCCTGGGGCTGTATATTAGTAATTAATGTTCAATTTAGTTTCAAGCCTATGAGAGGGAATATATGGGAGGAATATTCTGTGTGCCTCGGTGAGGTACTTTCTGCAGTCAATTATCTGAAGTCTGCTGGTGATATTGCCTTGTTATCTGTCTGCTTTAAACAATGACAGACTACTTTCTAGAGGTACCTTTAGGAGAGCAGCACAATATTGGTACTTATTGGGCTGCTATTGCTGAGAACAGCTGTAAACTATTTTAAACTGCAACCTTTCCTTGCGGTTAATTCCCACTGAGACCAGCGGAGGAGAGCAGTGGTCAAGATGCTGTTTTCTGCTTTAAGTTGCTTCAGGGTTATTTCAGAAGCAACAGAGGAAAAGCAGCCTCTTTCTTGCCTTAAATCAAATCTTGGACAACGGTGCTGAAGGCCTTGCCTTACTAGAAGGTTGTGGAAGTGCTTGGGGAGAGGTTAGCCTCTCCTTCCTGCTCCTGATTCTGCCCATACTGTTTTCCATGACCTAGTTTGGAGATGTGAGGTACAGCCTACATGTCCATGAGGAGGCTTTTGCTGTTCAGAGCTCTTTTCTTTCCCAGCTTTCTCCCTCTATAAGCACCTTTTCTCCTCTCAGCTGTCTCCTGGCTTCTTGCAGCAGCATGCAAACCTCAAAAGCCTGGAACCTGTTGTGAAAGCCAAGATGACAAATCCAAGTAGTGTGTTGTACAGTCATGTATTTCTTGATGACAGTCCACCCCTGGGGAAACATGGCTGTGTCTGTCAGGGGTCTGGAGCACCTTTTAGCAATCTGAGCCTGACCATTAGGATTTGCTAGCTGCTCCAGTGTTTTACTGGGACCAGTGGAGCTGTTCATCTCGTGCTGGACCTGATCCTCACCTACTAAACCTCACTGCCTGGAATGCTGATCATTTCAAGTTTCTACATTCCTAGTGTAAACAGATCTCAATGTGTTGCAGCACAGGAAATTTCAAAGTAAGCTAAAGCAGAAAGATCTACAGAAATTGGCACAGCTCTGAAAACGCTTTGCCCATCTCTGTTTTCTAGCTTGTAGCTACTAGTGTTACTATTTGATTACGTGATATTTGTAAGTGTTGCATGAATTATTTTCTCACTCCTAGGATGCTGCTTCATTTAGGAGACAAATTGCCTTGAAATACAAACCCATTAGGAACTGTTGTTCACAGCTTCCCAGCTGGATGATGCATCCACTGAGCTGCCTTAGAGGTGCCTGGTTTTTGTTGGTGGGCATTTGTCGCATTAAGCTAAACCCATAACAGGTGTTATCTCCTCTGACGTGCTCCTTGGGAAAGGAGGCTAATGGGTACCCTCTCCTAAGATTTTGCTTGCGTTCTCTTCCCTTGTGAGTTCATCCCTGTGTTGTTTTCTCAGGAGAACTCCAGGCTAAAAGACGATCTCTGGAATGAGAGGCACACAGGGAGAGCACTCCCAGGGGTAGCAGGATTAACCACAAAGACTGGCTTCCGGGCACTTCCTGAGCTGTTTGGCTGCGGAGATCCAGCTTCCAGAGGGAACGATTTGATCGCTGAGTGAAGTGCAGGGTGGAGGGGTCTGCCACATGAGCTTATGCTGATGGCACCACTTCAAGGACCAGAATTGCTCTTCCTCACCTCTGGGCTCCTTGAGGACTTGGAGTCACCCTTTGCACAGGTATTTGAGCTTCAGTGGGCACAACTCACAAAAGTCTGGTGGTTTGGCCAACTTGCAGTGTCAAATTATAAATGAGGGATTGTAAAAGCTGGCCTGTACTTTGGTTGTGTGAGATGCGGACCTGTTGATAACAGGGGCTGGGAGTGGAGGAAGAGGAAGCAGTTTTCAGGCAGTGTGAAAGGCCAGCATCAGTCCCCCTACTGAGTACATTTCAGAGGACAATCTTAGATTTCTCTGATTGTTTTCTAATTCCTAGTTCATTTGAAAGAACAACATCTTCACAAGCATGGGACTTCCTTGCTAGATCTTCAGACACCACTAATATTTCTGTTTCTGAAGGGCCATACACAGGCTCAGAGGGAGTTTAAACTGATGCCACTTGCCTTATTTTGGCAGAGACCACCAGCTAGCACAGCAGGTCTGCCCAAGAAAATCTAATACAAGAAAACAGGTACTCTGAAAACTAAGGGGGAAGGAGGGATCTGGATTGCAAAGGAGTTTTGAAGCAGATTAATCCCTCAATAGCCACCGTCTGTTTGAGCTGTAACTACTAGGTGATGTTCCTAGAAGTCTGTCTTGGTTGAGATCAAATGGATTGGTTTTGATTGTGAGAGAACCTTCCATATCAAAGTTGGATCTGACCCTCTGCCAAAAGTTGGTTTTGCAACTAAAACCAAGGTCAGATGCAGAAAAATCACTGTGCACATTAGTTGCAGATGTATAGCTGAACTGTTTCAAGAAACTGGCTTGTAGCCTTTCATGTTCTGCAGAAATTACACGTTGGTGCCTCAGGGCTATCTGATAGCACTGCATTGCCTTGGAGTTGTATATTTGGCATGTATCTGTATGTATGTCAAATAATTATGAATCTCCAGAGAATGTTTCTGCTAAATCAGCAAAAATATTCTTTTTTATACCAATGGGCTGGTAAATGCAGAAATATCTGCTCTGTTTCACCTGAGCTGGTTACAAGGACTGACCAGTCAGGATCAGTGCTATCTCTGCTGTATAGTCATGTCTGAACCTTTCCACCTGTAAGCCTGCAGTGGTGTCCTAAAACACCTGCTAATTCTTTTGCTAAGAAGTAAGGCATTAGGACATCTTGCCTTGATACGCAACAAAACAAGCTGTGGCAGGCTGAACCTCGTCCTGCCATCTAGGTGAGCTAATAGCCTGTACAGAGGTTATCACCTGCCAGTGAACGTACAGAGGCAACTGCACAGGCTTCTCTACACAGCGTTTTGTCTGTGCACTTCCACAGCCCCAGATCGTGGGGACACTCCAGCTCTACACCTGTGCTGTCGCTTCTGATATTCGCTAGATTAAGCGGGCTTGTTGACGTGCAGAAATATTTCTTAGGTTGAGGATTCCCATATTATCCTATAATCTGTTCTGTTAGTAAAGGAGCGATTTTATTGGAGCCTGCCAGCACTGTGCAGATGTGACTGGTTCAGCTCTCCTAGCAGATCTGCATCTGGCTTGTGAGCGTACAGCGTCTGCCACTTTGGCTGAAACAACAGCTCTCAGTTTGCTGTTCTGACAGTACTACCAATGGGTCCAACTGATCAGTCACTCTCTTGGCATGTTTTTCTTGTGTTCAATCAGGACGTAGCTTGTATGTAAACACTGTAGTCTTATTGTTGTTAAGTCTAAAAGTTCAGGCTCGTTCATGAGGAAGTAGTTAAATAGTGTCTGCATACAAACAGGGACATCTAGTCTGCTCTTGATGGAACAGGACCCACATAAGCCAAGAAGGTATTTAATTAGTCTTAACAAAGTACACCATGAAATGTAATCAGATGCACCCCTGCTTAATTGAGAGCCCTGTAACTGGAAAGTGATGCATTTAGGATTAGGTCATCATTCCTCAGAGAGGACTACCACATAGCTCTTATTCTTTCACAAAGAAAGAAGCTTATGGACAAAGAGTTTCCTCTTTGTCCATAAAGGAGGAGTGATAACAGAGGGTTCTTCTTGTTTAAGTAAATTTTGTAGTAGGGTTGGCAGCATTCCAAGGCTAGGAAAAAGAGATGCAGTAACTTGCCTAAAGACAAGACACAAAGTTACAACCAACAATCCTGAGCTGTATCTAGATTTCCATTCTGTCAGATCAGATTAAACAGTTACAAAGGTGCTTGACTTGGTTACCTAATTTTGAAGTAGTGTAACTCATGCTAGTGTTGTAACAACAGTACCACGCTCTACTTCAATGCAGCAATGAATTCTACCACTCAGTGAGTTGCTGCTGCTACTGCTTGGCTGCAAAAAAAAGGGGCAACAAAGGACAAGAGCCCAGTACTTGTGGTTTCTGTACCACAGTTGGTTTCTGAAAACTGCTTTGTTTTTTTTCCGAGTCACAGTAAGACAGCATGAGAGACAAGTGCTTTCTTAACATGTGAGGAGCGTAGACAATTAGGAATTTACTACAGACCACAATACTATCTTCTAATAGAAATTGAACTGTTATGTCAGCTGAATTGCTCCATTCCTTTTAGCAAGGAAGTAAATGCATTACAAGGAAAGTAGGTGTTAATTTGCATGTATTATCAAAGTGCCACAAAAACAATGAAGCTTTGTCCCTTTACAAATTGTTTTTTTAAAAAAGCATAATACAGAAATCTATGCACACACAACAGAAGACTTTTACAGGTAAGACATTTGTACATCCATTTAATTTCAGGTGATCCGCTCATTCAGCCTTAAGCAGTCAGGAGAACTCTGACTCTTTTACTTCCCATTCTCAGCGCTGAACATTCGCTCCTAAAAAGAGAGAAGTGAACAAATCAGTGCCAGTTTGGGAACTGAATTTTGCTTCAGTAATGCAAGTTGTGTCACTGCTGAGCAGATGTCAGACTACAAGCGCTGAGACCTCGTAATTAGTGTATTTATTTTTTCCCCCCCAAAAAAACCATAAAATTCACTTAATTCCCTCTAGAAGACTTGCCCTATACTGGTAGAAAACTTTTACAGGGCTTGGCTATGCTCAGCATCTGTTCTCGGAGCCTCCTACACAGAATACAAGTGTGGCTTACTTCCAGCTTTTTGAACATTATTGGTGTGTCTCAAATCACTGCTGACAGTTAACAAGTCTAGAATGAGACTTGTCACTTTGAGGCTTTTCGTTTAAGATAGGAGCACTATCTTGATTAGCTGTGAGTCTAAACACTGCCTTGGGCCTCAAAAACCAGCTGTCTGTCTATACCTGTCATGAATTCCTTCATAAAATGCACTGGAGTTTATCAAGTTCATTCCATTCAGGTGGCCAGTTTGCTGGCAGCCTGTCCTACATAACATGCACCATCTGTACAAGACCTGATCCAACTTGCTGACAGGTTCCTAATCCTGTACCAAAAGCAAATGACGGTTAGCTGCAGTATTTAAAGAAACACAGAAGGTGGAAAGAGACAGCCCTGTATAGCATCTACCTTTAACATCTTCTCTAATTTTATTGCATCTGCAGCGAATTTTCTGATCCCATCAGACAGTTTCTCCACAGCCATTTGGTCTTCATTGTGGTGCCAGCGGAATGCCTTCTCGTCGAGGTGGATCTTCTCAAGGTCACAGGCCTGAGCTGCACCAGGGCAATTGAAAAATAAACCAAACCCTATTATCAGATTGTTATCAGGTACCATGGGCTACCTAAAACCAGTCTCAAGTTTGTGGCCATCTCCAAATGAAAATCTGAGAAGTTTCTAACACCATTTTCAGTGAGACTTGCTCTGTGGGCACGCTTTGGGATGCCAGACTCAAAATGCTCACCTGCATTCTGAAGAAGGTTATCTAGATCTTCGGTTTCCTTCAAAATACAGTGCTCAGGGGTGTGCCTTATCTTGTACTGTTTCTAATTGGTCTGGTACTTTCAGCAATACTACCAAGAACAGTGCAGTGATGTTCTAAGCAAACAAGCTGAACAATTGGTCTTTGATCCTTTGGCAAGTTCCTAACAAAGCTCAATTGATCTATGCCTACAAGCCAGCTAGTGCCCTGTGAGTACCAACTACAGCTGCAACAAATCCAGCATCTGAGCTGAGAAGCAGCATTTTCATAAAGCTACAGAAGCACAAGAATAATGCAATGAGAACATGCACTCCAAACCATCAAGATTAAATAAGTCTTGAGTGTGGCTTCATCTCTAATATTGGAGAAAGGAAAACGTCTTTTAGCAAGTCTGAGCTAACAGCACTATTAGCATAATGATTAAACTCTGCTTGGATCTCTGCTAACAATCAGTAAAATTTCATCCCGTGTTCCTTCTCCCTGTCTTCAGGGGAAGAGACAAAGTATTTGAACATGCTCAAAACCCAGTTCCAGTTAATGTCCTCAGTGGGAACTGAAACCCTTAGGAAATAACCCTGTATAAGCAGTTGTAATGGTACAACTGCACCATGATCATTTCCTTCAGAGAAGGGACAAGGTTTAGCCTTAAAGCAGAACGGAAGCACCGCAGAGCTGGATGGAACCATGTACTCTTAATGTTCAAGAAGAAAAGCAGTCTGAGCAAGTCTGTATTACAGAGAACTGGACTTACCCTCCTTAACACTGAGTGTGGGAGTTAGCTTCACATGCTCTTTGCTGAGCTCTGCCAAAAGCTTGGGTGAAATAGTGAGATAGTCACAGCCTGTGAGCGCTTTGATTTCTCCTGTATTTCGAAATGAAGCACCCATCACAATGGTTTTGTAGCCAAACTTTTTGTAGTAATTATAGATCTTAGTGACACTCTTCACTCCTAAAGAGGAGAAATGGGTGACTTTCAGAAGGCTTCAATTGAATTGTAAGTGGTTATGAGTTAGGGGGTGAAGGGTAAACACGGGCCAGCTGTAAAGGAAGACAAAACAAAAGAACATAGCAAGCAGGATGTGCAGTAAATAAGGGTTAACAACTGCATAGGAATGCGAGTAAAGAGGACAAGGAACAGGTCAGACGGATTCCTTCAGTTGAAGACGATAAGCCTTCATCCCATGACCACCAGAAGAGCCCCACTGCCCACGTGCAAGAGGGAGTCAGGGTATGCTGGTGGGTGCTCAGAAATGAAACGACATGCATACGAATTCCACGGAAAACACAGATTATGTATTTGTTTGGCCTACATCTGTACCAAGCTTTTGTCCTACGGATGCGAGTTCGGAGGAGGGTCCCCCTGCACCCAGCTTGGCGTGAGATGCTGAATAAAACATGCCTGCTTTATAGCCTAACTCTGGGTTACAGAGTTTGATTCCGTAAATCGATTATCTATAACATACAGATAGAAACCATTTGTTTCACAAGAGGATTTTTAAAGTTAATTAAAACTTGAACATATAGCTATTGCATTCAAAAACAAGAAAAGCTAACCTGGATCTTCCGAAGGTTCATAGGTTTTCTTATCTCCATTAGCAAGATGCCAATCCAGGATGCGTCCTACAAATGGGGAGATCAGAGTAACCCCAGCTTCAGCACAGGCGACTGCCTGAGCAAAGGAGAACAGCAAGGTCATGTTGCAATGAATCCCGTACTCTGCTTCCAGAACCCTGCAGACATAGGCTGGCTTTAAATGGCAGTTTGCTCACCTGCTGTACATTCTAGCAGTAAGTTAATAGGTTAACCTACCGATTCCTCAACTTACATTAGAGATATGGTACAGCTTACATGCTTTAAAGCTCAAAGGTAGCAGAACAAAGTTTTACACTGCCAGGCTCCCAGTGACCTACTGAACGTTTTTCATTGAACCAAGTGCAGATGGCCGAATGTGACATTCTGGGAAGCTTCTTATGAACGGCCTGCCCCTTGTATGAACAAACTTTTCCTAATGAACAGAAAGCTCCAGTATGCCACTATGCTTACTGCACACC